ATGGCCAGAAGTTTTCGCTATTCCCAATCAAGAAGCCATCACTGTTGCCCAGGTGCTAGTGGACGAAGTTTTTAGTCGTCATGGTGTGCCAGTAGAGTTACATTCAGACCACGGACAAAACTTCGAATCTGCCATCTTTAAGAAAATTTGTGAGATCATGGGCATTCGTAAGACAAGGACAACACCTTTACATCCACAGTCTGATGGCATGGTAGAACGATTCAATAAGACCATAGAGGATCACCTGACAAGAGTGGTCGCAAGGAACCAGCGAGATTGGGACAAGCATTTGCCTCTATTTTTAATGGCTTACAGAGCAGCTGTTCACGAGTCAACAGGTGAAAGTCCAGCCAGAATCGTTTTTGGAAGAGAACTCAGGTTACCTTGCGATCTGATGTTTGGGATACCTGAAGAAGAACGAAAAGAAATTCGAGGCTATGCCGACGAAGTAAGGGCACGACTTCTGGGTATCCATGATTTTGCTCGGGGGCATATTCAACTAGCTAGTGAACGGATGAAGACCAGATACGACCTGAAAGCCAATTCAGCCGGATTTCAAGAAGGTGATTTGGTGTGGCTGTATAATCCAGCTAGAAAGAAAGGAGTATCGCCGAAATTGTCTTCAGCATGGGAAGGACCCTACAAAATAATCAAGAGGATCAATGATTTGGTTTATCAAGTCCAACGCAACACCAGGAGTAAGATGAAAGTTGTACATGTGGACAGGTTAACGAAATATCATGGGCGTGAAGTTGATCGGGACGATCAACCTTAAGAGGAGGGCAGTGCAACGGCCGCCAGTGTGTCAAGAATCCTGTACAGAATTGCAAAGATTCGAGATTTCACGTTGATGTTCGGGAACAAGGTGGATCGCGGTTCTTCTGGAATTTACAGGAATAAATTACGGCTATATATAAGGACGGGTTTTAGCTTGTAAGTTTTAAGTTAAAGTTTGACTGTGATACGAGTTAAATAGTGCTTATTGTTGTAAAGAGTTTAATTGTTGAGTTAGTTATTAAAGTAATTAGTGTCAGAGTGTATTGTTACGTGGAATAAATTATTGCTGTGTTAATTGGACTTTTTGGAATAAACGAAACGAACCCAAGATTTCTGTCAGGCAACACAAAGCCGTGATAATATTTTTAACGTCTTCTGCATATTCCGTGGAATATAATTAGAATATTTCACAAACATCTTTTTAACATTGCCATCACAACTTGACTATTATAAAGTTTAGTAACAGAAAAAGGCACAAATAGAGTCTTTAGTAGCAAAAGTATGTAGGTATCACCAAAAGTTATTGTTTATTGATAAATGATTAAGTGCTAGAAGGTAATATATCTGACAAAATGCATAGTTTTAAAGTTTGGATTAATGGAAAGGGTTTCATGGTGAAAAAAAAATACACAATAGAAAAAATCGACAATTCTCTGGTTTGGACGTGCAACAATCCATAAATTAATAGACCCAGGAAATCTTACAGGAAACAACCGGGAATCAACCACTACTGAAGAGGAATTCTACAGAGGATTCTCTATTCAAAAACGAATCCTACATGTTGATCCTTTCACTTTAGCCTCTACTTGATTTCAATTTAACGTTGCAATATGTTTCGCTATACGGTAGCTTCATCAGATGTAGATACTAATTCACACAATGTTGTTCCTAATCTTTTATAGTAATAACGGGTATACCAGGTAAAAGGATACAGGTTCTTATAGCATATTTACCTAATACCAGTGAATTATGCAGATCAAGTTGGGCATCAAGCAATAAATCGGTGTCCCTAAATTTATTAATTTCCAAATACTTCAGTCGATTTAATTTCAATCCTTTATTTTCTATCAGTTAAATGATTTGCATAATTAGAATGTTCCTTTCCTTTAGCGAACGAAACTGGATGTTCTTTTATCCCTTTCTCAATGTTTCTTTCTGTTTAGCGTATGTAGGGTTTTTGGGCAATCAAGGCAATTAAGTTTATAAACTTCTGACTTTTTCCCTGTATATCCTTGATTTAAAGGTTTTAATGTGTCTGCATAATGAATTTTTGGTTTTATAAGCAAATTTGAGAGCTGACTAAGTAAGGATCTTGCCTACTTTGCCTACATTCGCTAGAATATGTGATTGTTTTATATGTCTTTTTTACTGGTCTACAAATAAGTGGCGTATCAATTTTCAGTGTGTGTCAAGAAAGTCGTTCAGATAAAAAAAAAACATTGATTATTTAAACCTGTGCTCCTTAAATTTATCTCACAGTGTAAGTATGTAAGTACCTTCCTACCAAAACTTAAATATAATAATTATTATGTATATTTATTATTTAACAGTGATGATGGCACACCACAGAGTTTGGGTGGCCTTGCATAATTACGACTTTAGTGTCCCATTTCATCCATATAAGTCAACCAACTTGGCTTGGTCATTGATATTGGGTCTGTTTTCTAAAAAGGAAATCGCCTACCGTCGGGATTATTTTCATATATGTATATGCGCTAGGATGATTGCAATTAAAAATAATAGTCTATATGTATAATTATTTTAGTGCCGATTGGAAGCGAAAATTGCAGTTGTTTCTAGCTTTTGTCAAAGAGCATGTCAAACAAGTAGATGTATGTACCTAGATATTGCTTAAAGTTTAAATCAAATCAGGAGAAGTACAGGATGTTAAGAGAATTAGGTAGCGCATCCAGAGGTGAGAAAGATTTACGATGCTATTTTCTCATACCAATGGCTGGGCCTGTATATCTTTTTGCTCCATGAAATTGGAAGTTGTAGGAATTTTTTGTCGAAAAAATTAGAACATAAGTATGATGACCAGACCAGAATTCGATAAGGTGCCAAGAAACGGCATAAAGAAAAATGAAGAATTTGGGAATAACACCCCAAAAGATGATGAATCAGAAACTTTGAAAAGATACAAAAAAATAGATGTCTTTATATAGGGACCTTTAAAAGGATGAACTTATTGCACCTTCAGGGTAAAAAAAAACACAGTTAAATTACTGCTTTTAGTGTTTAGAAAAAATAGGTACTAGATTTGAAAGAGGGCCCGGCCCAATAACATCATGAATCATTCAATTATCTGAACATGAGTCAAAACTACCTAGGAAAATTTATATGTAATTAGATAACTATAGCTGGAGGGACTAAATTAATGTTGCGTTGATAGTACAGAAGAAATAATATTAAGACTTTGATATTAGGTATACCTAATAATAATAATTTTCATGAAATTTCGATCGGAGAATTAGGAACTCAAGTGTGGAGGTTGGAGCATTGTTTATAGTGATATTGGAATTTAAGTTTAACTCCTGATAGGTATGTATGTATTGGAATTTTACCCAGTTTTGCATAAAGTCGAAACTGAGTGGAAGTCTATATAGGGGAGTAAATTATATTTGTCATAGAAAATCTTTAAGATTTAACTCCACGTACCTACTGGGAAAAGAAGGTGCTCGGCTCATTTGCATTTTATGATCCTATTCAAAGTAAATATAGAACCCGATGTACCAGATACAACCATTGGAATCCAATAGTAGGTACAAAATAAAGAACCAGTTCACTATGATTTTATATTTAAAGTAAATAAATATGAAATACAGGTCGTTGAGAATACGGAGGCATATGAAAAATATCAAATACTCCCAAATACCCATCGATACGCAGTGGAGAGTGACCAAATTTGCCACCTACTTGGATTTTCAGTAGCGTACGGAACGGTACACTCTGGGTAATAATTCATACCCATTAGGTAATAATTCATACCCATTACTTAGCCATTATAACCCCATATAAATTCAACGAATGACGATCATGCATCTCTTTTCCTCCGAATTCTCTTTCTGGTTTTTGCACAACCAGCAAATTTTTTATATGCCGTCGTATACTTGACGACCTGTTGGTCAAAAATTTATAGAAGCTGCTGTTCATTTCTCTATTCGCTTCGCTCAATTGTAGGCCTTCGCTATGCGTTGGCCTTCAAACGTTGAGCTCAGCACAAAAAGATCCACTTCTTGGCCTAATGACACAAATAATATAGGTTTCCGTTTTGCCAATTATAATAATAAAACTAACCCAAGCAGATTAACACCACCTTTACTAAACCAAAGCCTCACTAAATCTAGGTGGTTGGGTTTTAGTAAATAAATTTGTAGGGTGAGAATTCAAATATAGGTACCTAAATCTGCAATAATGCGTTGACTTAAAACTTCCTACTTTTGTCTATTTATTAAAAGAAGGCAAATGTTACGATAAAAGATCTTGTATATTCAAGTCTCTATTTATGATTTCACAAAGTAGAGTATTTAATTATTACATATTTTAATGAAAAGTATAGCTATTCTATCTAACCACTTTTGCAAGACAGGACAAAAGGTGAAGAGCATGATCTGGATTAGAATTAAACACAGAAAAAGAAAAGGAAAGAAAAAAATTCAACACTGCTAAACTAAATAACCGTCCACTGAAAAACCGGTCCTTAGTGGGCATACTACCAGAGGAATAAAAACAATCGAGTTAGCGTCTTATTCATTGATCCCTTTTTGTTTGTATACCAATGACAGGACACATATTTCCAATCCCAAATTTCCCAAAAACTATGAGGCAGTGGAAACTACTCTGCGCTGTTGTCATATTTGTAAATAAATAATGAAACTTGAATAATACTAGTATGTTCCTAATCCTATTTTTTATTCTAAAATAAATAAATAAAATGGCAATCATATAAAATTAGAATTAAAGAATTTCTTCTAGTTACATAACTTATTTGTGGTTTATCAAATTTGATAATGCATTTTTTCTCCTTATTCGAGAACTCCGTTAAAAGATTTTCTCCAAAGTAAAATCGATATCACGCACATTCTCCTGGAATGGCGTTCAGACTAGGCTTTGTCAGTTTCAGATCGCTAGAATGTAAGTAAATATCTGCCTCTATTACTCTTTATTCCTCTGAGGTAGCCACAAGGCACCCCTTATATTTATTTTGGGCAAAGCATACTTACTCGTGAGATCGAAGCCTCAATTTCGTACTCCGAACTTTCCAATAGATGCACGAATATGCAATAATAATGACCAAGCAAGGGAAGCCGATTCCGAAGATAAATATAGTTTTCTTGGGAGATTTGCCATCTTTTTCCAATATCGTGCAGGAAAACGTTGTAGGGTCAAGGCCCAGTTGGCCCCAGATGCCTAACAAAGGCGGCACCTAAAAATAGACTAATTTGAGTAAGTATATTAAAACTTTGGCATATGTGTAACGACCATTGACAGATTTTTTTTCCATTTGATTTGTAACACTGGTTATAGGAAATATATATATGTACTATTATTTAAATCATGTAACGCCGGTTCAAAAGAATTGGAACCGAATGACAGTAACCTGAAGAATACGTGGGGATACGTGGAGAACTCAATGAAAAACACCACACAACAAGAAGCAATTCAGATTCACTTGCTAACAATTATTATGAGTATCTTTGCGGGAAAATCACCTGCGGGTTCTCTGATTTGTGGGTTCTTTGAATGCTGTAAATAAGCCTATTCTTCCCTCATAATTTCGCACACTTTGATTGCACATCGCAATCACAGGTAGCTGGTCGCTGTTGTAAACCTGCTCTTATCAGACGTGCTCGTTCTTCTCTTCGATATCGTTTAAAATACCTGATGGATACTTCCTCTCCATACGGGTCTATTTTTTTAGTTGGGAATTCATAATTTGCTTGCGAAGACGTGAGTATGGCATGCGAACGACATCACCAGCCGAACGAAACTGTTGTTTGATGAGCATCAACTCAATGCCGGTGGAATTGGTTTCCTCAAGGATACTGTTGTTTCTTCAAAAATCCTGCCAGTTTATATTGCGTATTCTTCTCAAGCAGCGCTGACGATACTTTCTTAAACACCTCAAGTGTAGCATATATATATGTGGTCCAGGTTTTACATTTGTACAGAAGTAGATTTTGTTGATATGACGATGGATTTTAGACCGCGAGCTTAGTTTGAGCACTGATGTCGTGGTTGTCACTTTTTTGAAGAGACGTAGCGCACTTTAGTCAGCATTGAATTTCTGCGTCAATATTTGCATTAGTCGAAAGATGACTACCGAGATATGGGAAGTATTCTATATTTTCTCGAGGTGCTCCATTGATAATTACAGCTGGATCTGGTTATTTTTTTTGTCTTATTCCTGGTTAGTTCTAGATCGATGCTTTCGTAAACTTAATGTATGCTTGAATGTATTAAAATTGGTTGTCGTTCTTCCTCGTTGTTTGCCAAGACCCAAGACCACGTTATCATCACTATATTGAATTAAGCTCACAAACGGTTATGTAGATACCTTCTTCTTGGCTCAAAGTCTGCTTAGATTGAATGGCTTAAAAACAGTTCTATAGGAGATTTCGACGTTCGGCCGGCGGCAATTTTTCTTGGACAACATTGAAGTACGGCTCCTACAAATATATAAAATATGCTTGGCGCAATGACAAATTCATGCTTAACACCGGTTGTGATTTCAAAGGCTTCTCCGCGTTCGTTGTTGGTAAGGACATTGGAGTTCATGCAGTCATGCAGTAAACGAAGTACGTTGATGAATTTGGACGGACAATGGGGCAATGCATATATTTTTCAAAGAGCGACTCGATTATAAGTCAAACGCTCTGGCAAGGTCTATAAATCCCATACACAAAGGTTTGTTTTGCTCTTTCGATTTTCCTTGCATAATATGTTGATATTTAGTTCAGCTCTTTCTAGTCATTATGACAGTTGGAACCTATCATTTTTCCGGTTTGACATAAGCAAAAGATAATGGAGATAAAACCCTACAAATTTTGTCTTTAATTTTTTTTTTGTTTAAGCTGTAGGAGCCGCACTAATTATAAGGAACAGACCCTGTACATTCAGAAAATATTTTTGAAAATTGCACCTTGCCATACTAAATTATATTTTCAAGATGCTGTACTTATGGTTTACGAGTCCAATTCAATGAAGTACGTACTAACTTATTTATTTTCAATGAATATCTAAAGATCTTTTTGAAACTTTTGAGCAATTAAAATGCCATAAAGTAGCAGATGTGAGAACGATTTTTAATTGTCCTAATATTCGCACACTACGTACTAAAACTTTATTAACATCGGCAACACCCCTTGTGAAATTTCAACACTTCGATAATAAAGTTGGGGCGAACCCCAATATTATTATACCCCCTAATTGATGAATCAGAATCCGCAAATAAAAGAATATTCCTTACCATTATCAGGAACGCCATACCCCAGGTACAGAGCAGCTGCAACCCAATAGAGAGGTTTGAGTAAAGTTTACTGTAATAATCGTACAGCGTGATCAGGACATATCTGAAACCCAAAACAAATAAATAAAAATGGGTACCTTTGTGTGCCTGACAATCCTAATTCTTGCGCCACACAAAATGGGAAGGTTTTGATATATGGGTTACAACCGTTTATTTTTGGTAGATTTAGTGAATACATAAACATTATGGAAGACAAAATAATACACACTTTTATGTTGTAAAATCCTATAGGTACCCCTAATCCTAAGGAAAATGTTATAATGAAAGCTCAAACATCAAAACATAATGAGCAATTTACAGTGGGAAACAAATCTAATAAATTAATATTTATTCGGTCCGTATGGCCGATGCATTTGTAAAATAAGCAATACGTCATTTAAATTACTACCACACACACATGTTAGTTGAAGAAAGGTATCCTATTTCCCAAACAATTCAAACATTTCTCCACTTGACTCTCCATTACTACACTTGTGTTTTTTATATGATTAATTTTAACTACAACAAACGTTATGTTATAACATACAAAACTCATTAATGGTATGGTATAGGGGAAAAAATGTGTTTATTGGCATACAGAGTTTTTTTTTAAGTCGTTTTGTAGCTGTGATTGCATAACTGACCTAATAACTTTGCAGTAGGTAGTAGAGATGGGTTAACCTATAAGTACAAAAAATAGAAATAACTTAACAACATGAGAAATAACGTGCCTAACATAAGATATAATGTTTCACATGTTGGCTTGTTTGTTAGTTAGGAATATTTTGCTCTGATTTGCATGTTAAAACGCTTGCTTGGTCTTTTCCAAACTTTCAAAATATTTTATTACATATTTCCTTTTGCCTTTTGTGAATAATAAAATTCTGAAATAACAAAAGTTTTTGTGTATATCACTGTCAAGCTGTAAATCTGGTGTCAAACTCAAAATTGCCAAATCCAGACGAGTACTAAGAGGAGCATTGCGCATATTCCTTTTCAGATAAAATGCCTAAGAAATAAAAGTTGAAAATTTGATTTTCCTAATTCTCATCTTGATAATAAATATGCGCACCTACTTTGTAATATGAACTATTTTATTTCAATATTCCAGATCAACAATACCATGACAATGCAGAACTTTCGCACAGATGATCAAGGAAGGTAACAGGTTCAGAAATGCGATAATGCTGTGTATACCTATAACAATCTTCCCTCGTTAATTTGCGGTATCTGTTCATTTTCTGAACTGATCTAATGGTATTTCTCCAAATAGATAAGCTCGAATATTCTCTTATTTCTTCCTTCAGAAACACTACCAATCTATTTTTTCAGTAGCTACCTACCTACATGATAGATTCTTTTTTCTGTAATACACTCTGGTGCAAAAAAAAATGGGCCACCTATTATTGTTTGAAAGTTGGCTATGCTTGTTTATTATTCTGGCTTGTGGTTGACACTTCCGATTTTTTATTTACAATGGTTCTCTTATGGGTTAGCTAAACAAAAAACAATATGATCAAAAGTGTAAATAAAAAGCCGAAAATGATAAAAAAACACAGCCAATTTGAAAGAATTAATAGGTGGCCCATTTTTTTGCACCCGAGTGTAATATCTATTAGTTTTGTGAATGCTTTCATCATTCATCAGATTCTTTTTGTACAGTAGAAGGTACTAGTATTTTGGGAGTCTTTATCCATATCCTCAAAAAAACTGGAGTTGGATAATCACGGTTGTTTTGCTTCTTGCCACATATGATAGGATTTTGGAGGTTCATTTTGTAAATTTTAACAGGCTTTGCAATCTCTTGCTATTTTTTTAATATCATCATTACTCTTCATTTTGACCATGCGATGCTTCGTGAATTTCATCAAGTAGGTACTCTTTTCTCCAAACAACTTGGGATAACTACAATCAAAACTCAGAATATTTGCATTTGAATCCATGTTCTCTAAAATAATTGCATAATCAAAACCTTGTCATTTTGCATAGTGAAGCACGAGGTAAAGCATCTGGAAGCCGAGGAAAACTTCTTCCGATCAAGATGAAAAAATATTGATATCAATGGTTTGTTGTGTCCTCTTCTACCACATTTGTTACAGTTTAGGTTATAGTTTTTAGCCAGCTTCTAGCCAAATAAGAAATTTCACCACAACGATAACAGGATTTAAGCTTTTTCATCTGTGGACAATTGCAATGAAGAGCATTTTCCATTACTAAGGGTGCAGTAACGCAATCAGAAAAAGTATTTTTTTGGATCCTTCAGTTGAATTATTTTTTTCAATTAAATTGGAATTTTTCGAACGGCTAAGAAATTGTTGTCCAGGTGAACATCAACAGTAGAAGCATTACGCCTAAGGCGTTCGAATTCACAGTCCTTGCATAATTTTTTCAGGTCAGCTACAAAATCTGAAATACTTTCGCCTTCCACTTATAGTAGCATGAAATTTGGGATGAAATCGCTCTAGAAATTAATTCTGTGGGGGACTGAGTGTAACAAGCTAGATTGTTAATTTTTTTTTTTTTTTTTTACGGATATGCGCACTCGCAAGGAAATGTCCTATCACGCTCGAGAAGCGGCAAGTGCGCGGAAATGTCGGTGTATGTTGGTCTTGAAACGGTTCAGGTTGTAACCTGCAGGGAAAACCGTCGCAGGGAGTTTATTCCACAGCGATGCTGTTCTCCAGAGATATGAATTCTGATATAATGAGGTTCTTGATGCCTCTAGTTTGACAGTAAATTCATGGTTACCGTCTGTTTGACGGGTTCGCCTGGTAGGTGCTACTCTCGGTGGAATCATACGTGCCAACTCTTCAGAGCATTTTCCGTGATAGTACCTGTAGAAGAGAGATAAATCGCCCACAGATCTGCGATGTTCGAGACCATCCAAGTTACGAGTAAGTGCGGGGTCATTGATCAGCTTGATAGCTCGTTTTTGCACGGTATTCAAAAGCATTAAGGTATGTTTGGGTGCTGCACTCCATATATGTGAGCAGTACTCCATAGTTGGTCGAATCTGGGCTTTGTAGAGTGTCAGCAATTGGCTTGGTGTGTACAGATGTCTTGTACGAAATAGCACCCCCAGCTTTTGGGAGGCCCTTTTAGCAATATCTGCCACGTGACTGTGCCAAGACATGTTGGTCTCTGCAGTAACCCCCAAGATGTTCAACTGACTCTGTAATATGACAGCACTTCCAGATAGCATGATGTTTGGCTCACCGGTGCTGGTCTTTTTTGAAAACAGAGCTGCTTGGGTTTTCTGCGCGTTGAACTGTACAAGGTTTTTGTTACCCCAGTCCTCTAGTATCTCCAGGTCGTTATTTATCTGCGATATTTGAGTTAGTCTAAGATGATGGAATTCACGTGCGGAAAGACCTGTGGGTGGTATGAGTGAGGAGACTACATTGCCATCGTCTGCAAAGCAATAAAGTGGATTTACTGTTTTATCTATGAGGTCATTTATGTAACATAATGTTTTTTGAACTTATATTTTGGAGATTCTAACACCGGAGCTAATCCAAAAATAGACCATGCAAAAGGGCACTATTCTCAAAAAAGAAGATATTGATACCATTGTATGGAACGCTACGAGTACTAACTACTAATTACAATATCCGCAAAATAAAAAAAGTCCCTTTAAAAGTTACAAAGATACAAGAATTTTAGAAAGCATTGAGGCTTACGCCCAAAAAAAAAAACTAAAAATGCGATTCTTCCGGTTTTACACTACGATATTAGCTAAACAATCTTCTAAAACAAAAAATATATATTCTTCAACTTTCTTAAATATGTAGGTACAGGGTTTTCCCGTATATTTTTGCACCCTACCTGCAGCCTTTACCTTTACAGGTAGGTAGATGATAGCTGTAGATACAAAAATGGTGCAGTTTTAGCTAAATTTTTAGAATCTTTCATCAGAAACAAAAATGTATTTTCAGACATTTGAAATTTTTCGTACTTGTAACTTTTTTCAAATGAAATGCCCTATGTTTTATTCTATATTCTTGAAGAGCACAATTTTACGATTCCAAAAATATATAGTTTGTTTATATTTGGTTGAGCCGTCTCCTACATATTTCGCTCTAAAAAATTTAAAAATACTATCAGAGAAACCAAGTGCCTCAAATTTTACCTGCAGCTGTCACCTTGACAGGTAGAATGGTTCACAAAATCTAAGGCAGTATGATAGTATATTATTTTTAATACCTATTTGGAAGTACCAGTCGTTCTAGTGACTTAACGTATGTCGCTTCTTGGACACACATATAAAATTAGGTTAGGAATTTCCTATTTGTACATGAAATTGACGTATTAGTAATCGACATTGGTTTTTGTTGGTAATTTTTTGTTTCATCTGATTCGTGATTGTTAAATAAGGATGGGTTTATTCCAAATGGGTATTAAAAATACCTTACCTATTTTTACAATTTTTAGACCCAAATATATTGGAGACCGCTTAACTAAATATAGAGAAGCTATATATTTTAGAAATCGGAAAATTGTGCTCTTCAAGAATATAGAATCAAATCTAGGGCATTCCGTTTGAAAAAAGTTGAAAGTACGTAAAATTTCAAATTTCTGAAAATAATTTTTTGTTTCTGACGATGGATTCTAAAAATTTAGCTAAAACTGCACAACTTTTTTATTTACACCTACCATCTACCTGTAAAGGTGAAGGCTGCAGGTGGGGTGCAAAAATATACGGGAAAATAGTGTATAATATATCATACCAGTACACGAACCATATTTTTCTGTCATTTGACATTCAACGTATTATGGCAATTAATATAAAACAAATTAATTAAGACGACTGCCACGGGGTGATCTACCGTCACGTAATCGCGAATTGCTTTTTCATTGCTTCGCTTTGTCTATATCTGTTAAACAAAAAATTCTTATTCTAGAAACTTCTATGAAATTCCTTCTGAAAACCGTAACTACTACAAGAATAGTGACTTTATTACTGATTTCGACTTCGAAAAAATAAGTCCAGAGAGTCATTTTTCTAGAACATTCCATTGTGTTCTATTTGGAAATTTGATTTCGCTACAGAGCGTTATAAAAACA